TCCGCACTCCACCGTGAGATCCACATTGGATAGGCGGACCTGCCATCCTACCGCTGTTGGCTGTAGTCATCTTGAGAGTCGATGAGGTGAGGACCCGATGATGTTCCAATTGGGACGTGCTCTTGTTTCGTGATGTGCAAGTGCTTACCGACGGTGCGTTCGATCCCCTCCTCGACGTGAAGCAAAGTGCGAGGGAATTGCTCAGGGCTCACACCAGAAGTGCTATTGAACTCGCACTTTGATGGAGAAGCAGTTGCGCACTCCATCAGCGCGACGATTTAATTTGGACATTGACTTGTCATTTCTATATCACAGGTTGAAAACGCAATCGAATCTTTCTGTGTAGAAGATTCATATCCATTCATATAAGTATCTCTTGTCATCGCAAACATCGAGATGAAAACATCTCAAGTCAAATTGCAAAGCACACAGAGACATCGCAAACATCGAGGTGAAAACATCTCAAGTTGCGCACTGTTTTTCCAAAGGTGAAGTCTCAGAGCAGACGATCAGTTTCCAGAAACCATTCTTTGCAGAAAATTCATTCAAGGGCAAATTGCAAAGCACAGAGACTTTCCAAATTAAATGCAAAATATCATACAATCCCACATTGCAAAGTGCACGGAGGCTTTTCAAAAATCACAAAGTACATGGAGCCAAAGTGCGAATATGTTTTCATTTCTCATATGGAACCAACAGTTCAATCACAAATGCACGGCATCCAAAGCGCGAATATGTTCGCATTTCTCATACGGAAACAACAACCAGCATCCAATGGAGAGCACGAGAAGTATTCCGGGGATAACAAAATTGACAATCATTTAGTGCACCACTGAATCCGTTAAACAACTTCAAGCACAAGTCAAATTGCAAAGCACACAGAGACATCGCAAACATCGAGGTGAAAACATCTCAAGTTGCCTAGTGTTTTTCCAAAGGTGAAGTCTCACAGCACACGAACAGGTACCAGAAACCATTCCATGCAGAAAATTCATTCGAGGGCAAAGTGCAAAGCACACAGAGACGTTTCAAAAAGTTATTGAACGCAAAATATCATACAATCCCACATTGCAAAGTGCACGGAGGCTTTCCAAATATCACAAAGTACATGGAGCCAAAGTGCGAATATGTTCTCATTTCTCATATGGAACCAACAGTTCAATCATAAATGTACGGCATCCGAAGTGCGAATATGTTCGCATTTCTCATACGGAAACAGCAGCCAGCATTCCGTGGAGAGCACGAGATGTTCCGGGGATAACAAATTGGTGATCATTCAGTGCACCGCTGAATCCGTAAAACAACTTCAAGCATACATACATTCTGGCGACAATTGATTTCCGAATGGAGAACAAGTTCACAACTGTCATAAGGAACCAACAGACAACATTCAATCGAGACAAGCAGAGGGGGTGAACCGTAAAACGGGGCGGCACACGCAGAACAAGGGCGAGCCAAAACATATGAAAGCTGGTTGGTCGGGGTGGGGCGGGGGAGAGGGGCTTTCACACCACAAAGTCTCGCGAATGAAAGAGATAAGCACGAAACAATTTCGCGACCAAGAATAAATCGTCGATATCTTTCACATGAGTAAAAGAGGAGCACAACCTCGAAACGAACAAACGCAGCACAGTGCTGCCGCGGTCTGAGAGGACATAAGGAGAACAACTCAAAAATAAACAAAAGGAGCACAAAGTTGGGATATTTACATCCGATATGTAAGCGTCTACTTGAAAGGAACTGCACCACGTGGCTGGGATATTTACATCGGCATCTGAGCTTCTACTTCACGTAAGCGTCCGCTGCTACCCTCTAGCTGATGTTGCATGGCAAGCAATGACAACAACCTGAAAACAAACAAAGGAAGCACGGCACTGCCGAAAGTCCTACAAGTAAAGATGACAGGTTCCACGAAATGAAGAACCCTTAAAAAATTGATACAGCATGAGGCTGAGATATTCACATCGACACCTAAGCCTGTACTTGACCAAAGCATCCACTGCAATCCGGCACCTCATAAAAACAACAGCACAGCTCGAACCGACTGACTGCTAGATCAAGTGGGAATAGATTCGCACTTCTGCTTATGACCTTTGGAAAAAAAAACTACGCGTATTTTAACAACAGGGGTATTATTCAGAGCCTTGAAGTATGTCCAACGCAATCCTCAGCCTGATGTTTGTAATGTCGCTTTGGGCTATCGGAAATGGTGGCGGATAGCCGCGTGCAAGAAAAGAAGCGAAGGCGAGCATGGAAACACCGCAGCTCGACCCGTCCGATTGTTGAGGAACACCACGAATAACCACCTTGGGCTCCTGGAGATCCATTTTCGTTTTTGGACCATAATGACAAACTGTTTCGTCACGGACGTATTGCGTGAAGTTCGCAATCACATCGGAAGAAAAACCGCTATCGTCTTGTACGAGGGAGTCGTAGTACTCCAACCGTTGTTCTCGGAGACACAATAGGGTCCAATGCACTCCATGTTTATGGACAGGAATCAAGACCATCTCGTGCGAGAAAATATCCACATCTTTTGTCCATCTCGCAACCCTATCATGTCGATAGCCGCCACGGACGAGCTTGGTATAGAAAAATAAAGTGAAAATATAAAGAGAGGGACACCCAGGCAACACAACGTTGGCAAGTAAGGCCAAGTACGACTCCACCACCTCGTCGGAAAGCCATTCCCCCTGAACAAGAGTTTGAAGACTTTTTCTGCTCAACGGAATTGAAGTGACCCCTTTGCAAACCAAGCACACCACCTCGTGGCCGTTGCTGTAATCTCCACAGACGTTCCGCAACATTCTCACGTCCGTAGCGCTAAGCTCCTCAGTAGGCAACGGAACGCGAAAACATGATGTAGCCCCAGCTGCACAAACACCCACGAACAAGTGTGAGGAGTGAGCACAAACCCCGTGGTGGAATGACAAAGAATTGTGTGCCCGTTTCCCATAAAAGTTGTATCCCCGCTTGTTGAATGTGTCCTTCGCGATGTACTTAGGACACGGGTCTTTCAAGACACCCCATTTGCCATCGTCATCAGACCCGTCAGACAAAGTTGTAACGCTCTCAATAGGCGCAGCCAAATGTTTCCGCAGACCTTCCTCCTTATCTATTCCACAAGCCTTCAGAACCCTGACAGCTCTCTGGGAAAGGCAAGGCATCTGGACCCTTTTAAACAACCGTACACTTGACGACTTCTTCGGTGAAGCGGCCAATGACCTCCCTGAAAGACGTTTCTCGCGCACGGCTTTTAAAGGCTTCATGGGCAGGGACATTAACAACCTCACACCTGTAGAACATAGAAAACAACCCACAACCCACGAGGTTTTTTTTAACTAGTGGTAACAGGTACATTAGCCCATGACATCAATTTGGACGAAAACAGAGCTGGCCAGTGACAGATATGCGAGTGGTCCTATTCACAAATCTTAACGTGCTCTGGAGCCCTTTGAGGGAACTCGCCCTCCTGTCGCGCCACTGCGCCAACGTCCACGGACGATTCGAGGTTCTGGACCTCGGCCACGGCTGTGTCGCTAACCAGCTCGGTGGCAGCTGAATCGCAAGTCGATGGCTTCATGAAGCACCATTTCCCGACCAGTACAAAGGACAGATGCTCAATCACCCTGTTCTGCACCGCAACGGGTGGACGGAGAATCATGATCTTTCCGCTGTGGATCCATCTTGATGCTGACGGCCACCTCACCGCCTTTCACGGAGGATTCGACGTTCTGCATCTCGGCCACGCCTGAGTTGCTAACCAGCTCGGTGGCTGCCGAGTCGTCACCCAACTCTATGGCTTCATGAAGCACCATTCCCCGAGCGGTGCTCACGACAGACGCTCGACCACCCTGTTCTTCACCGCAATGGGTGAGCGAAAAATCGCCATCTTTCCGCTGTGGATCCGTCCGGATGTTCTGCATCTCGGCCACGCCTGAGTCGCTAACCATCTCGGTGGCTGTCGAGTCGTCACCCAACTCTATGGCTTCATGAAGCACCATTCCCTGAGCGGTCCTCACGACAGACGCTCGACCACCCTATTCTTCACCGCAATGGGTGGGCGAAGAATCACCATCTTTCCGTTGTGGATCCGTTCGGATGTCGACATTCACCTCACGGCCTTCCACCACGGGTTCTCCGCCTTTCTCATCGCCATGAACCCGAGCTTGCACCGCGGGTTCTTCTTCGTCTTCATCGTCGCCAAGAATGGGAGCTTGCACAGACGTCCACTGACCTCCCTTAACGACACCCTCTCGCGTCATGGCCACAACCGAGCGACTGTGCAGAACGTCTTCGGACGTCCCGATCACCAGCGCTCATGCGTGGAGCCACTTCACATCTTCACAAGCCGGCCTGTGTCGAGTGTCCTCTCCCTGTTGTACAACAAGCGTTTCCCCCGGAGCTCCTGCACTCTCGCTGTCAGTGTCCACGAACGCACCCTCCGAAGCATGACGTTCACACTTGCTAACCCCCGGTCTCCAACACTTTGCGAGACTGTCAGCATTGAGTCTCCTCTTCCCGATGTACAGCACGCATTCCCGGAGAGCACCCGTCTTCCCCAGGAGTGTGACGTTCGTTCTCGCTACCCCCGGTCTCCAACACTCCTGGAGCGGACCCCTCCAGCACGTCGCGAGACCGCCAGTCTCGAGTCTCAACACATGAGAAGGGAGGCGAGCAGGGTAACCCTGTGTCCAACTGAAGATGCGGGGGCCAGGACGTCACATTTTCTTGGCCCCACGGAACTGTTGCATGAGGAGCACTTATGGCGGAGGGCGACGACAGCAAATCCGAATGTATTCGGAGTTTTTGGCGGTCACCCGAGCCGAGGGAACCGGAGGTCGCACCTTCGCTCCTTCGCAATGCAGGCATCCCGCCCTCCAGGCAAAACGAAGACGCGCCCTCTTTCAGGAGCAAGGTCTTGAGCACAGGAAACCTCTGCCGCGCACGGCGGGATGGACTCTCCTGAGCAACGGAAAACAAACTCCTCGCAGACAAGTGCGAATCTACTCGCACTTGATCAGACTTCAGGGTGACCTCGTCTCGCATGTCGGAATCTCCACTCCCTACGCAGTGGGGGTCAGTTTCCATATACTGGGACTCCCGGACGTTCTACGCTTTCCGCCTGACCCCTTCCGGCCCGACCCCTTCCCGCCCGACCCCTTTCCGCCCGACCCCTTTCCGTCGAACGCCTTCTCTACCGACGATGTCTCGCCCGTCCCCTTTGCGGCAAACTGTGAGCCGTCTCCTCCGCCACCTCCGCCTTCTCCTTCGTCTCCTCCACCACCCGCTCCTGGATGCTGACCGGCCGGCGGAGGTTGCGGCATGCGCCAGTCAATGCCACGAGACGGTGCCGTTTCGAGTGCGTAGAAAGGCGCTCGAAACTCCAACATGTTGTTGGCGTACAACTCATGTAGCTTTTGTTGTGCATACGCATCGACGTCCGGATCGTTCCTCTCGGGGTTCATGAGACTCGAATGCTCCACCAGAGCAGTTCTTGCCTTTCTCTTAAATGCACCCGCTCCCAGTCTCTTCAGTCCACTCCACTTGCCATCGGCCTCCTTTATTGCCATGACCCATATTCCATTCCTCACAGCAGGTTGGAATATCCTCGGGTGCCAGACGACGTTGTGTCCCCAGGCATCCTCCGCCGTGAACCGGTGATGCTTGCCGAAGGAGTAGAGTCTGTTATTCTGCCAGGTGTCATGGTCCACAGGGAGCCTGTCACAAGGTTCGTGATCATAGTCTCTCTCTTCCTCCCCGTCATCAGACGATTGGTCGTCGACTGGTTCGCCCCGAAACACACGCTTCAAACCGGCAGGGGACGTGCTATATCTCCGAGGGCCACCTTCCTCTTCATCACCAACCTGTCCAACCACCCGAGGAAGTGGCATGGACTCGAAATCGAAGGTTTCGGAGTCGTCAGCTCCTCCATGTCTTCAGCGTCGAAAGGGTCCTCCTCGTCAAACTGTGACTTGTAGTTTTCCAAAGTGAGCGGTTCGGCCAGCGTGAAGTAAACGTGCTCCAGCCTTCTCAGGAAGTGCGAGACAAACTCCCTGGGTGCACCGTGGTACCCATTGAGCACAGCGAACACCAGGTTTCTCCGTCGACTGTATTCGAGGTCAGTGGGACCAGGCGGTCCGGGTCTGAAAAGGAAGTGTCAAACGTCCGTCCTTTTGTTCCCCGACAATTTCCAATACATGTCACGTTTGGGATCCCAGTTTCGTTCGCCGGTGGTGCGGGCAAACTCGCAAGCATTGCGAGTGTCTGCAACGCGTGTCTTCACGAACTCGTAAAGGTAGTTGATCATCCTCGCCTCCTTCTTTAACGCGACGACGTTCCGACCGGTGCGGAGGAGTCCCCACACGACAGACGCATGCGCCTTCCCAAAGAAAAAAACAGTTTGCCCAGATTTGTAAAAGTTTTCAAGTAGACCAAGTAGACGGGATGGGTTGCACTCCATCTCCCCGTAAGCAGGTCCTGGAGAACTTGTCACGCCGCCGTCCTCCCACATGCTACGAGAGAACCTTTCCTCTTCCGCCACGTTGAAACACGCCACAGCCTGTCCTGATGGGTCCGACGAACACACAGGTTTCGCGCGGGCCGCCACCGTGTGTTTGGCCGGACTTGGACCTTTTGTCGGGCTACTGGACAGGTAGACTGCATATGTGTTATCTTCCAGCTTCTCGCCATTAAATATCACGTACAGGCGGTCACACTCCTCAACCAGCATATTGCCTTCCCGGATAGTGTCCTGCTTTTGTGCATTACGTACCCACTTCCCTGTCCAGACGTGATGGACGCTAAGCCTGGCCATGCCTTTCAAGAAACTGAGCTCCCAACGAGAGGGGAAAAAGATCACAAGTGCCCACTGCGTTGGCGAAAGTGTTTGTAGAAGGCCTTGCAAGTTGGCGAAATCGTCTTCTCGCCAATCTGTGAGGAGTGTGGGATCACACAAATCAAGGACGTACAAGTTGCACACGTAATGTCGCACAACCTCACGGATCGCAGTGACATGACTGTGAGCTTGGGAAGGCGGGAAAGCGAAAGGAATAAGGCTGGTCACCCGGTTGAGGTCGGACCATTTGATGTGCCTCACATCCCTGCTGACCTTGATCGTGTCTCGAACTTCTTCTTCCGTCCGTCGCAAGATGGAACGGACAGACTTTTTGAAAGATTTAGGAAACCTGTCATCATCGTACAATCTCTTCACGTCGTCGATGGACTCCTTCTCGTGCGGAAGAGTACGTTTGCAAATGTTTACATACTCCACCGCGCCTTGGAAATGCTTTCGCATTTCGACCCACACCTGTTTCGTGAGGCCCTGCGGCCTAAACTCCTCTAGAAGCTTCCCCTCGGTCTGAAAAAAAGGGCTCCCGTGGCGCCAAACACGTTCGTCCTCCTCCGTTTCAAGGAACAAGATGTAGTGGAACATACGGAGCATCACACAGTCCACTTTCCTCGTCGCGACCATGTCTTTAATTCCTGGTTTATGCCGACGCTTCAGATGGCCACCCACGGATTGCACGAACACTCCCCTTAGTGCTATAATGTCGTCAAGGATCGACCGTTTCTCGACATCGGTCATGTCGGCGAGACACTGCCAACAGAACATGTCTGGCTCCTTCACGACCACGAAAAACTTGTCGTCCACTTGCGTTTTCTTTTTGGTCGGAGGCGGCGGGACCCGGACCAGCCACCCCATCTTCGTTTCACCAGCCGCCCCTCTCGAGCCCATTTCCCGAATTGCTTGCAGCCCCGGAGATTTGTCTGGCATGTATTTGCCCGACCTCGACAATGGTGTCTTGTCATCGCTGCCCAATAACTTCCCCTCTCGCCCATTTCGCGTAGAACTCCATGGCTTTGCGGAAAACGTCATCACCGGCCGTCACAAGCGGCATCCACTGCCTCAATGCATTGCCAACGGCAGCGACATACTCCTTGTCGGCGAGCGACAAATCTTTTTCTGCCAACGCCCAGTTAGATTCGTTCGGACTCTTTCCCAAAATCAGCTTTTGGAATTCGAAAAACTTTCGTTTTTCGGCCTCCTTGCCGGAAGGGTTCCCTTGAATGGCCATCGGCCTTCCTTCCTTCTCCCATGCCTCCCGCATGTCCAAGAACGCGGCCTTTTGCGATCGCTGCTTAGACATCTTGTGTCCCGTGTTCTCGTTGAGACTGACCTGCCTATAGCCCGCGAAATCTCGGTCGGAGAACCACACTACTCTCGCCGGCCACGAGTGCATCTTCCACAAATCGAATCGAATATTGGCTCACCCTCCAACTCCTTCACGGCGGCCACGGTGTGTTGACCGTTAACGGGGTAATAGCAGTACTTGTTCTTGTCCTCTGGCTTGAAGACATCTTTGTGAACCTTGTCAGCTTTCTCCGGCCTACGCATCACCGACTTGTAGATGGGTGCCAGAACCAAAGGGTTTTTCGTCCTGATCTTCCCTCTTTTCTCGCGGAATTGACTCAGCATCGCAGCCTTGATGTCGTCCACAGTTTCGTGAGTTAGACTGCGGTGGTTGTAATATCTTTCCCAAGACGGGATGTCGCGGACCTTCCTGGGGTCGATGAGCAGTTGGACGGGGAGCTCCTTCTCCACGATTTCACCGCCATCGTTCCGCTTGTATTCGAGCCAGAACGCTGCCGCTTCGTCGCACTCCTCCCTGTCAGGCCGTTCGCCCCTGCTCGCTGCCTCAGCAGTCTTCCGCCTTCGAGGTTTCTTCTGGCCATCGCCTTCTTCAGCTGCCACTTTCCGTTTCGATTTCCCCGAAGGTTCTCTCGCGGCCGCAGCGCCTAGATCAGTTGAATCTCCTCCACCCACGGCTTGTCCTTCGCGGATGGTCAAACCATCGGGCCTCCTCGCTTTCTTACTTGTCGTCCCACCGTCTTCCTTCGTCGGCCTTTTTCCCGAGGCACGTTCTCCGTCATCACCTCCATCCCCGCCCATCACCGCCTCCGATTTTTTCTCCCATCCTCTTCATGCGGAGGGTTCCTTCTGCCACCTCCTCTCGCACCATCCTCTGTCGCTCGCTCTTCTTCTCCGAAGGAGTCTACTCCCCGCCAGAGCTTTCGCGGACAACGCCCATTCCTTCAGCCTCATTCCCTCCGACATCTAGCCCCAATCTTTTGTCGCCCCGTTGAGTCCCTGTACCCTGAGAATGCAAGTCCGACGTGTTCCCTGGAGCATCCGGGCCGACCTGCGTGTGAACGCTGCGTCCTTGACCCGACCCCCAGCGTCTTGAATCAGACTTCCGCGCCCCACTGTCGTACCTGGAGTTTCTTGAGCCAAGCCGGACGACCCCTCACGGGGTGGCAGAAGCCGGAAAACATGCTCTGGCGGAAGAACCGGACGTTCTTTCGGCACCATCAGCGCGAGATCGAGATATTGCTTTGGCGATGGACGACGCTTGCTGCCGCCATCGTAAAGGCCTTTGAAGTGAGAGCACAACGGCATGTTCGAGCCGTACCCCGCGAAACGCTTGATGGTCACTATCACACCTTTAACACCTCTGATAGGCAGTCTGCACTCGTCGTACAAGCCGTTAGTGTGCAGCTTGAGCAAACCTCCAGGAGTCTTCGCGCACGAGACGACGGTACCGAGAGGAACAACGTTGACCGCTCCCCCAGCGTCTGTAACACAAGTGGGTCGCATGAAAACAACTGGCCCAAAAAGGTCCCCCTGAACAACGAAGTCCGAAAACCATTGTACTCCCTTTGCGTGCATATACGGAGGAGTAGGTTGCTGTACAGGTCGTCCCTCCCCGGGGGCAGATGGTCCAGCGCTTGTGGATGTGTTCTTTGCGGACGCCATTGTATTCCCACCCATTGACTAGCACGCCCAACCTCAGACCAACTCGGATGACTAATATGCCCAACCCTAGACCACTACAGAAGCGAAGTGCGAACTAACTCGGACTGAACGAAATGGAGGACGAAAAGGACGTAAGAGATGGGTGTTCAAAATACACACGAAGTCACAACAATCGGGTGAAGGATAGGAAAGACAAAAGTTTGGAGGGAAGACGATAACTGTTCGGAAAGATTGCGACCGAACTAGATGCCCTCGAAACGAGTAAGATGTGGTTTATCGACAAGTGCGAACTAACTCGCAGTCTTGTAGACAAGACAACAATGGCAGCCCGCTGCACTAGGGAAAAGTGCGAACTAACTCGGAATTGTAGAACTGAAGACCTGAAAGACGCACGAAACGAGTAAGATGTGGTTTATCGACAAGTGCGAATCGACAAGTGAGAACTAACTCGCAGTTCTGCTTACAGGACGACAATTGCACCCAAAGTACAACGACAAACTACGAACTGACTCCGAATTGTGGAACTGAAGTCCTGGTTTATCGACAATTGTGAAGGGTTTCGACAAGTGCGAACTAACTTTGGCGACCTGACAAGGGACAGGTGAGCGAAAATCGGGAATTGATTCGGTGTTCAGTGTAACAATATATCTCTATATATACATATATGTATCTATATTTATATATATATATATATATATATATATGTAGATATCAGGTCGGCGACCTCACAAGGGACAGGTGAGCGAAAATCGGGAATTGATTCGGTGTTCAGTGTAGCAACTAGGTATTGATTCGGGGTTCGCCATGCGCAGCGACGACTGCAACTTGCGAAGGGGATCGAGCAGCTTTATACGAACGTTATCGTGGCTATGGCGAAAGGTAATCGAGCTGCGGAACGCGGATCGGCTATGGCAGACGGAGGTGGAGGGTGGAGAAAAGAGATAAGACCATATCCACTGGCGAAACAACAAAATCGGGAATTGATTCGGGGTTCAACAGAACGCGGCTGCGGTGTTATATCTTGCAGGTACAGACAGGGCATCTGGGAATGTGTTCGGACGTCGGACACAGAATAGGACAACTCAAGTTATATGATTTTACCTTCGCCGTGCGTTGAGCGGGCAACCAACCACCAAACCAGCTATGGTGGAGGGATATCGAGCTAGGACGAGCGAAGACTGAGGAGCGAAGAGCGAACCGAACACAATGTGGCAACTGCGGACGGAGCGAAGAGCGAAGAGTGAGCGGGCTATGGCGGAAGGTGGTGGGGGCTGAAGACCAAATATCAAAACGCGTGCGAAAGCGATAGTGTGACTTGATCAGTGGAGCGCCAACAAAAGTAATAACTTGAGGGCTGCAACGCCTTTTATACTTTGTTGCAGCAGGCCTCGCGTCGGGATCAAGCTGGGGCCGAATCGATTCACATATCGCACCCCCGGGCCCATAAAACGCCATCAAGGTGGGGCTGAATCGATTCGCGTATCGCACCCCTAGGCCCATAAATGCTAGGGCCTATAAACGGTAAGGGGTATCGAAAATTGTGAGTCGTCGATCAACAATTTTCAACCGCGCAGATGAACGGAGCCACTGTTATGTCAGTGGCCCCAAAATCTCCGTCTACTCCGGCGTGCAATGATGTGACAGTTCCCGAAAATAAGGGGCAGGCAATGTCATTTTCGCAGTTGTAATCTGAACCGTCGATCGGCATGATCCGACGCACGAGGTTAGGCGCAAGAATCTATAAGGTGCGGCGATTCGTTGTGCGCCGAGGTGGTTCGTTGCGCACCGAGGCCAGGCGACGGTTTATTTCGCGCCGAGGCGCGGCGATTCGTTGTGCGCCGAGGTCAAAAACACCGGAAATCTATAAGTTTCAGTGTCGCTGTCATTCGGACATTTTGCAAATGTCAACGGCGTTCGATATCAATGCGCTTAGCCATGCACCATCGTTATCGATGCGCTTAGGTCATCGCCATCGCCAACGCTCGCCATGCACCATCGCCATCGATGCGCTTAGCTCATCGCCATTGCGACGCAAAGCTATATCCCCCATCGCAGCCGTCTCGCTCGCCTGACCATCGCAGCGCTGACAATCGCCATCGCTCTCATCGCAGCGCTGGCCATCGCTTCGCCATCGCTCTCCACCAGTGAGCCATCGCTGCGCAATCGCTATCGTTGTTCCCTTGCTGCCATCGCTATCGCTATCGCTCCATTGTAACACGTTCCATCGCCGCGCCATTGCTCTCCACCGGTGCGCCATCGCTCTCCACTGCAGCGCTGGCCAGTGTTATCCCACCGCAGCGCTGCGCGATTTCTCACTCCATCACTGCGCGATCTCTCTCGACAACCGGGCAACCTCCATCCTTGCCCGAGAGGCTCTCCACTACTCGTGCGTGGTCCCGCCATCGCCATTGTATTGTTGTTTCAGGCCGTCGTCGGTGCAGCCGCCCATTACAGTGGAATTGCACGAAACAGGTGACAGGTATGCTTAACGAAGGTTTAACTCGATGAAACTGATGTTGTGCAATAACAAATCTTGGTCATCGCTGTGCCTTCTCTCTCCATCGCTGCGGCATCGCTAACCATTGTTGCGCGTCCTCTCTCCATCTCTCTCCACCGATGCGCGATCTCTACCGACCTTTCGTCATTTATCCCCATCGCTGTGGTGTCTTTCCTAATCTCTCTCCTTCGTCATCCATCTCCTTCGGTGCGCTATCTTTCCTAATCTATCTCCTTCGTCATCTATCTCCATCGCTGCGCTATCTTTCCTAATCTATCTCCATCGTCATCTATCTACTTCGGTGCGCCATCTTTCTCCATTGCTGTGCTATCTCCATTGCTTCGCCATGTTTCTCCATCGGTGCGCAATCTCTCTCTCTCTCTCGCTGCGACACTCCTCCCAATCAGTTTGCGATCTCTTTCCCTTCCTGCGCCATCCACCTTCTTCCCGAAATATACAACGCACTTTCATTATAGTTGTCTTTAGACTGAAAGATGACCTGAATTCAGCTGTAATGACCGGACGTTGTATTCGAGGGAAGACTGTGACTCCATGCATCTCTCTTGGTGCGTCATCTCTCTCATTAGGTGCGCCATCTCTCTCCATGTATTTTCATCGATGCGCCGTCTACCCATCGCTTCGCAATCTTTCTCCATCTTAAAAAATAGCACGCCATCTTTCCCTATTTCTCTCTTGCGACGATATGTGGCTCGTACTACACGCAGAACAAGTCGGAAACAACTTGCACTTGTACCCGCAGTTTCGTAATGGAAATGCTCGTTTACAAGTGCGAATTCATTCGCTCTTGAACCAACCAACCCCGTAAGTTGTTACAGTTTAGTCCATAGGTCAGAATTAACTCGCACTTGTACCCCCAGTTTCGTAATGAAAATGCCCGTTTGCAAGTGCGAATTTATCCGCTCTTCAATCAACCATTCCCCTAAATTTCTTACTCTATAGTCCAAAAGTCCCAGTTTCATAGTGGAAATGTTCGTCTGCAAGTGCGAATTTATTCGCTCTTCAAACAACCATTCCCCCAAATTTGTGACTCTTTAGTCCATAAGCCCCAATTTCATAATGGAAATGCTCGTTTGCAAGTGCGAATTTATTCGCTCTTCAACCATCCATCCCCTTAAATTTGTTCCTCTTTAGTCGATAATTCGCGTCTCTTCTCGGCCCAAAAGAATGAAGTCCTTTTGTATTTGCGAGTTAACTCGCCACTGAACCAACCACGAAGGCAATTTCTTATTGCACGGCGTAATCGAAATGTTCCTCTGAAGTGCGAATTTTTTGGCACTTGAAAATTCTCGTTGTTTAGTGGATAATACCGAATCGGCTCGCACTTGTGTCCGCTCTTGTTCCGACCATGAACTTAATTTCTTACTGTACTTTGAATAAATCCGAATCAGCTCGCATTTGTACTCTCGCCTGAAAAAGTGTGAGTTCACTCAGACATATCCAAACCACTTGCACACAAAACGAGTGGGTGAGGAGTCGGACTTGAGATACCACTTGAGCCTCACATCAGGGTCCGACAGAACGATATGGATTCCAATGTTGTTGTTCCACTGTTTTGTGATAAATATTTAAAAAGTGAGTTTGCTCCCTCTTGTTTATTTCCCTGACCTCGTCATACGTTGACGTGATTTTTTTGTTGCACAGTTTCCGTGTTGTGTGGGTAAAAGTAAAAAAACTACCCTCTGTGTGTGTGTGTGTGTGTC